ATATATATATATATATATATATATATATATATATGTGTGTGTGTGTGTGTGAAGAGACGATAGGGTAATGATATTCGTAAAGGAAAGAAAGAAACGGTTTTATAATTACGGTTTATGCCACTGAGTTTCATTCCATTGAAAACATTGAAAATGACTTGTTTTTTGTTTTCAATTTTGGCCTTCAGTTTGGAAATGTTTCCATAAAAAATATTTTCTAAAACCTAAACAAGCATGTTTTCACCACTATTTTCCATTTTCACTGAAAACGAATACAGAAAATAAACACACTAAACAGTTGTTTAGGGGGCAAGAGAAACCAGGTTGAGAAGAGAAAGCTTTTTTCAGTCTTCTACTCTCTTAGAAAGATGCATCATATGTTCTCATAGCTACAAGAGCAATCTAGGAGTTTTGGTTGTACCAAAATATGCCGAATGCATTGCTACAACTACTGAACTACATTATCAACAGATCTAAAATTGATTGTCTATTAGAACTATGTTGGACATAATGATAATGTGTTCAGGCTGATCAAGCCAATCTTCAGATCCCTATCAAATCAATAAATTTACAATTATGAAGATGCTACACAAATACAGTTGTGTAATCATCATAACTATGATAAGAAAAATAGACTCAGCAAAACACATAATTGGAGAGACAACATTTCACTTCCACCAGTGTAATTTGAATCATCAAGGGCAAGAACAAATTGAGATTTGAAACAAAAAATGGTTCAGTTTAAAAGCTTAAAACTGAAAGGGCCAAATTGAAGAAAATTTTATCTATCAGGTACTTAAATAATAGATTTTATATAACAGCCTCTAAGTAAATAAAACCCTACATACCAGAATGCCAATTAGCTTGCCATTCAAAGGGATAGCTCTGTAAAGAATTGTGAATTAACAGTTACAAAAAATGAGAGCATAATTTATATCAAATACCTGTAAAACAAACATACACTTGAAAGGAAATATGGAATTGTTCTACAAGAAAATAATTTCATCTTTCCTCCCTTGGTTTATTAACATCATTATTATTGATGTTGGCCACTGAAGTGCCTTGCATTTCAAGCAACTTCTGTTGTTCCTCCTCCTTTTCTTGTGCACTTGCCTGTTTTGCAGCCTTGGGCTTGCTTGTTGATTGCTGATACATAATCCCACCCAGCATACAAATCAGAAGTCCCACCGTACCCACCCATGTTGAATGCTTGTCCCATATCACCAAATTGATCACAACTGTCAACAACTTGTTCACTATACCAAGGACAGTAAATCCGGTTGCAGAAATCGCCCTGCGGCAAGAAAATCCAAAGAACGAGATCGATAGACCAAACAGACACGACAATCCCACCGGCAAAATGACCTGGAACGAGTGCCAATCAGTCTCATCATCGATATCATGCTTAATCTTCTTCAGCTCCCCCATAATCAGCAGCTCCAGGGGAAAGAGCAAAAGAGCCTCAAGATTATTGTACAGCACAAGACCCCATGTGTTCAAGCCAATGGTCATAACCACATGTTTTATGTAAACAAAATCTATGGTCATGCTAACCAAGTAGGCCAGCGCCCAGCTGTAAGCCATGAAAGTAAACTGATAATCAGTGACCACATAGAGCACACTGCCGGCAACGATGGTGGCCAGGGAGGCCCACGTCTTCGCCGACGGCCATGGCTGGTGCAAGAACAGTGTCTCCCCTACCGCGACAAACAAGGGAACGACCGAGCGGAACACAATGAAGGTGTCAACATTGGCATGTAGGAGCAGCTCACTGTTGGTGAAAAGGGACAGGTAAAATATTATAGCAGCCGGCAAAAACCGCCACAGGGTCATAAGGTCAAGGGAGTCATGCTCCAGGAGCTTCAGCCGGCCGCAGAGGAAGACCCCGGCGGCGCTGGTGAAGTACTGCAAGGCGGTTAGGGCACCAGGGTAAGGGAATTTCATCACTGCCCATTTGTTGATAATGGAAAGCAATGATGCAGATAAACAATACCCAGCAGCCACACCATATACAGAAATTTGATGCACCAATGAAGTGTACCAATTTCCCTCAACATGACTCACATTCAAATTGCCATTCACATCCACACCCTTTTGAACAGTGGGGTTATTAGTAGGGTTTTCCACATCACTATCTTTAGACATCTGAACAAAACCCCAAAATTACGCGTTATTGGTATTAACACAGGAATTCTATGCGTCAAAGTGTAGATCTATTTTGTGTGCAGTGTGTCGCAGAGCATTTTGGGGCCGGAATGTGAGTGGTGAGTGAAATCAAAACGAACGACTTGATGCATTGCTGTGAAATGAAGGAATGAGCAAAGTGAAAGGGACTTACCAGAAGGGAATGGAAGAAAAGTTCGACGCTGTCGCACACACCACAGAACCCCTTCTTCACTTCTGTTAACTCTGAATCTCTTCTTCCTCACCGGATTCATTCTTTGGTTTTGTTCCTCTACAATTTTATTTAAATAATAACTTTGTTAATCTACAATTAATACATTAATTATTTTGTTGACTTTCTCTGCAATTAATTTATGCAATATATATATATTAATGTATATATGTATTTGACTAAAGTAATTTTAATATCATAATTACATTATTTTTATTTTTTAGATTTTAATTAAATGATTTTAGTTCATTAAATATTATAATTGTATAATTTTAGTCTTTTAAATATTATAATTATATAATTTTTTTATTTATTAAAATTATATATGTACTAGTTTATATGGTAGTTCAAGATTATTTTATTTATTGATAATTTATTTTAAAATACTAAAATTTAATTCATAAATATTTATAATAAAATAAAGTTGAATTATATATTAAATTAATAAACTTTTTAAAAATCTTCTCATTAAATATATTATATAGGGATTGTTCCTAATTTTTATTTATGTATTAATGATAAATAATAACTTAAATAGGTAAAATTTGAATAATTGAAACACTTGATAAACTAAAATTATATAATTATAATATTTTGAGAGATTAAAATTAATCAATTAAAAATTAAGAATTAAAATTATATAATTATTATATTCAAGCAATTAAAATTTCTTAATTAAAATTTTACGAGACTAAAATCATACAATTTTAAAAATTAAAAAAACATTTAAACCTTTAAAATATAAACATTTAATTCTTTAGTATGAAGAAAAATGCATTTTTTCATTTTATCATTAATTTGATATCAATTAATTATTAAATTAATACATTAGTTTACAATGGATTGCGCAAAAGTGACAAGTGGTCAAGGACTCGAACTTACCTTTCACCTTTCTTATCAATGTGGGCTTGAACCCTCTAACATCATTTTTCTTAATTAGTAGACAACTCTCCCCATAGAAATATCCTGACCCTTAAGTAGTTAGGTACTAGTTGAATGGCTACAATCACTTTCCCCGGTGGTAAACACTGGCTAAGCTACATTATAATTGGGATGGACAAATACACCCCTTCATTTTAAATTATTAATGTATGATTGAAAATATATATTTTGCACTCTCTAATTTTATATATTGAATTCACTTATTATTATTTTTAATATTTATATTTTGTTCTTTGTATCTATGATGATCATTTTTAATTTTTAATTTAAAAAATAATTTTCTCATTAACATAATGTCTTGGATCCTACAATATTATTGAACAAAACTCTCCCCAAGAAGACCTTATAGCCCCTAGGGACTAGTTGAGAAAAATGAAAAAATTTATTTAATAATGTTAATAAAATAAATAAATTAATGACATTATTAAAATAACACAAAATAGTGCTATTTAATAACATGATTAAAATAAATATGTTGTCACAATAAAGATTGATTAGTTACTTAAAAGTAATATATATGTTTTAACTTTTTTAAAATATTTTGTATTATTTTAATTTTTTATTTCTTCATATTTTTTGTATCTTTTTTAGTTTTAGTCTTTATTATTAGGATAAATTGCAGATTTAGTTCATCTATTTTTATTAATTCACAATTTTACTTTATCTATTTTTATTAATCTGCAATTTTAGTCTTCTTATTTTAAAATAGAGATATTTAATCCATCAAAATTTTAAAATTCATAATTTCAAACATCACGTCAAATTAATTTCTACTGATTATTAAATTTTAACGTTTACTCATACTTTGATGTGACATTTAATAATATGATATATAAAAATAAATATAAAAAAATTAAAAATACAAACAAGATTTTTAATAATAAAATAAATACCAATCACTCATAAAAATTTATACCAACAAATAATTTTTATATGTTTTTTTAATTTTTATCCTAATATAACACATCACTTATATGGTGACAGATCACCAGACAACATTAAAATTTAAAAATCAACGATATGATGGTAGGATCAAATTTCATATTTTTAAAAAATAGAAAGACTAAATATCTTTATTTTAAAATAAAGGGACAAAAATTACGGATCGACAAAAATAGAGAAACTAAAAATAAAATTTAAATTTATCATTTTAAGTCTTGTTGTTAGTTTAATGTTTAAATGATTTTCAAAATAAAAGAAATATTAATTAAGATAATAAAGATAAAAAATTAAGATAATTAAAATAATAAGTTATATTTTAAACTAAGATGATTAGATTATGTTAAATGTATAATTTAATTAAGTAATGTATTTTAATTTATATAAATAGGATAATCACATGTGATTTACTCCTATAATTTATTTTAACATTTAAATGTTATAAAAAATATATTTTATTTTATTATTTTAATATTTTTCATACTTTTCAATTCACTATTTTTTTTTAAATTACTTAGATTTTATAATTTATTTAAAATATATTAATTTTGTGAAATTTTAAAAAAGTTATATTATAATCCATCAAAACTAATAAAATGGAATGTAAAGTAGCATTAAAATTAATTATAACGTAAATTATAATAATTAAAATAGTATAATGGTGAAAGTAAAATAATAAATTAAAAAGTAAGAACAATATTTAAAGTAATAAAAATTATTTTTTATAATATATTAAAAACTAAAAAT